AAGGTTTGCAAAGCATCTTATATATGTTGTCTCATTTGGTCCTCACAACAATGCCTTGAAGGGAAATACTATTGTTACCCTCATTTTGCAGATGAGGAAACTGGGGCAGCTAGGTCAGGTGACTTGGCCGCAATCACAATGCAAAGAGTTGTTTAAGACAATATTTGAACTGCGTCTTCCTAACTCCAGTTCTCTTCACTCCATCCATTGGGCCACCTTGCTACCAGGGCTTTCTAAGCCAAAGAGAGGAGTTTGAATTTTATCCTGGAAGCTAGAGGGAATCCCTGAAGCTTCAGTAGCAGAGGAGCGATCTGGGAACTGAATTCTCTATAATATAAGCCTATCCAGGCAACTGGAGTGTGAAAGAATGTTGTTGTTCAGTCGTTTTCAGTGGTGTTTGACTCTTCCAGACCTCTTCTAGGGTTTTCTTGACAATGATGCTGGAGTGGTTTACCATTCCCTTCTCCAGAATGAAAGAATTAAAATTTTTTCCAGAAGGAAAGAATGGCCTTTTTCTTTAGCTCTTCTGCCAATTTGCCCCTTCCTATTTTGGTATTAATTGAATCAATCAAAGTTCCATAGGATACAGAGTTGGAAAGGATTCTGGAGATTATCCAGACCAGAGATTCTTAACCTTTTTTTACTGTCACAGATCTCTCTGGTAGTGTGGTAAAGAAACCTATTAACCTTTTCTCAGAATAGTATTGCTAATATATAAAATAAAGTACTATATAGAATTGTAAAGGAAACCACCTGAATTGAAATAGGGTCAGCTAGCATTTGTTGAACACCTACTGGGGACTGAGCTATGTATTTGATACAGTTATCAAAGTAGTTAAAAAACAAATTCGTGGACCCCAGTTTAACTACTCCTGAGCTAGGCCAACTCTTCCATTCCACAGATGATAAACCGAGGCTCGGAGAGGCCAAGTGACTAACTCACAAAAAGCACAAACAGCATTTGAACCCAATTCTTCCTGACTTGAAATTCTGAAAGGAATAACAAATAGTTTTAGTTCTTTATGAATCTTGACTTAAAGAGACAAATGGTTTATCCCAGGGGTGGGAAACCCGTCCTTGGTCCTCTAGGTCATTGGTGTGGCCTTTTGAATGAGTCCAGGTTTTACAGAACAAACCCTTTTATTAAGGGGATTTGTTCTATGAAGTTTAGATTTAGTCAAAGGGCTGCACTTGAGGACCTAGAGGGCCACATGTGGTCTCAAGGCCACAGGTTCCCCACCCCTGGTTTATCCTAAAAAACGTAGCTGAATGAAGGTTGATGATTGCCAACTGAGGTTATTGGCTTTCATATTTGGAGGCTGACCTAGGTTTTCATTAGAGGGAAAGAAAATTAAATCTAGCCTTTATAATTTTTACAGCTTATCTTTAGGTACAGAAAATATTTATCATATTTAAAGTTATTTTATTTGACCTTTCTCATATTTTGTCAAGAAGATTTCATTTAGATGTAAATTCAGTATTGCTCTTTTAATAGTTTCCTTCAGAATTCAAATAAATCTCTTGTCACAACTTTAAAATTACAGTTCCCAAAACACTGGGATTTCTGTTAATGTGTTATTTCCTTCATCTTTTTTCCTCTACGATTATACTTTTCCCAAATGCAATGAAATTAAAAATTGACTCTGCTTCCCTATCTCCTACCAACATGCTTATTTAATAGACTGGGTGGTGGTGGGAGGAAATTTTTGACAAATTTGTTGTTTGTGATTAAGCCACATGAAGTGTGATGGCAGGGTTATTTAAAGTATTCTAAGAATCCAGGCAACTTAGTATATGACTTAATATATTCTCTGGTTAGACCTAAAGAACTTTCTTGCTTCTGGGGGACACCCTTATGGTTCTTTATGCATAGAATTGAATAGAAATGAAGAATACACTAAGAAAAATGGAGTAATTCTCCATTTTCCATAGCACTGACCACAACTTTATTAAATCACTGTGTGTATTTTTCGATCCAGAGTAAGAGAGAAGTGTGGGAAGCAATGGCAAGGCTTCAGAGGGGAATCCCAAAGATAATACATATAGTTATGTCTGGAAAGTGAGGAGATTGGACTCAATGGCCAGTTAAAATATTTTCTAAACCTGTAATTCTACCATCCTGAAATTGAGCTAGTGTGACCTACTTTGACCTGCATGTATTTCCTTTTTTTTTTCTCATGGGTTTCATGCTTTCCAAAGTATTATCTTTTTATGCCTTTGCTCTTGTTTCTGGGAATCCTTTCAGTTTTCTTTGATTGGTCACAAGGTATCTTATCCTCAAGGCCTGTTTTCATGCTGTTTCATTTCTCTATCCCTCCATCATCCCACAATCCTTTGCTACAAATCCCTCAACCTTACCCTCAGGCTTTTTGGTGTAATCCTTTTGTTGTGATCTATTTCTGAGTTTATTTTCACCAGTGTGAAGAATGTGAGTGTTCTTTTCTGAAACTGTAGGATTTTCTTCAAACCATTCCTAGGAACCTATATTAGCAATGACAATTTATGCCGATGAGTTTTTATGTTTGTTTGTTTTTTTAAGATTGGGTCTCCCTATCTTTCCCAGCCTATAAGTGCAGGGAGACACTCACAGGCCCCGATTCCACTCTTACTATCAAGGGAGTTTAGACCTGCTTGCTTTCCAATTTGCATCAATTCCTTAAACAATCTGATGCCCCCTACTCACTCCCAGTCTCCCAGAAACACACCATATTAATGCTGAACTTCGTGCAGATGCCTAATCAGCTTAGCCCAGCTGCAGTCTCTTGAAATTCTTGGCTTTCCTTAATGATAATTTAATCTTTCTAATGGTGTAAACTAAAAAGGGGAAATGTGATTTGGGACCTGATTCTGACCAAAAAGAAAGACCAGGTTGCTGAAGTAGGAATAATAGAAACCTTGGAGGAAAGTGAGCAACCCATCTTAGAATCTGTAAAAGAGGAGAGGAACTTCAGGCATAGGTAGACATGTGCCCCAGTTTGGGGAGAGTAAATTTTAAAGGGTCCAGAGAAAAGGCATAGATAGCATCTGATGACCTGAATTCTGACTGAGGAGCCAATCCAGGTGAGATGGAATGCTCAGAATGAAAATTCCAAAGTTACAAGGAAGCAATTCCATGAAAGACAAAAAAGGTAGTGAGCCAGAGAGACAAATGTGGATGCACAGAGAACTATCTGATGAACTTAAATTAAAAAAAAAAAGATACATATAGAAGACAAAAACAAAAGAAGGTAACAGATGATGAGTTTGGTTGTTTAGGAACATTATTTAGCAAGTTTTTCCACCTCTGCTTCCTAAATCACTTTCTCTGTGACTGCTACTAAAAATAGACTTTAAAAGGAAGTAAGGAATAGGTGAATTGGAAAACTCTTCTTTCATGCTTGAGCTAATTTTGAAATATTGCTCTAAGAGAGAGTAGTGGCCATCACCTTCAAATAAGGGATAGATGATGAGGTGAGTGAGAGCCACAAAAACCTGCCTTAGACATTTCTCAGCTGTATGACTCTAATCAAATCTCTCATCTACCCTGGTTTTCTAATTCTTCATCAGTAAAAAGAGAGGTTTGGAGTTGATTGCCTGTAAGGCCCCTTTTCATCTAAATATATGATCCTATGATCAGTGGCCTCTTCTGGCCAGGAAGGCAATGCCAGGTTCTCCTAGTAATGTTAGTCATGACATTTGACCTTCTCAGCTTTGGTCAAATTTCAATTTGAGCAGCTCCTCTTTTAGGTAAATCTTCCTTATTAAGGTGTATCATTGCTCAGGGGCCAAAGTAATTATTTTAAGGTGCAGGTCTGACCACGTACCATACCCCACTCAGTGAACTCCAGTGACTTCCTATTATTTCCCTGATCAAATATAAAGTAATCTGATGTTGAAAAATCTTTACATTGTGGTCCATTCCCACCTTTCTAATCTTCTAATACTTTATTCCTTATCATGTACACACACACACACATAACCCATACACACATATATGAAATACTCATTGAAAGTTGAATGTGAGCATTTAACACAGGCTGACCTGTTTCCCAACTTTGTCTTTGTACTGGCTAGCACATATTCCTATTGTGTCTCCCCTCTTTACTCCCTCCTTTTAGTTTACCTGGCTTTCTTCAAGACTTAAAATCCTACCTTTACAAGAGTCCTTTCCCAGGATAGGCTGCTGCTGGTGCCTTTCCCTTTGAGAATACATTCTATCACACCTGTGTATTTCTTGCATAAACCTAGGTTTATTTTTTTCTTTTTCCCACATTGTCTTCATCACTAGAATATGAGCTACTTAAGGGCAGGGATTATTTTTGCCTTTCTTTGTATCTCCTGCAGTTTGTACAATACCTCGTCCATAGCAAGTGCTTAAATGAATGCTTTACTGAATTTAAAAGAAATGTTCTACATGTGCTAAACGATTAATTAACCCCTATCAATATTAGGAGTTACACATACTTACAATGTCATTATGTTCTCATATTTCTCAGAGAATCGACACTTCGATGTTTTCTGTGGTTGGATTCCTGACTTAGTGAAAAGGTTTATTATTATTTTCCAGTTAACTAAAGGAGAGAGAGCCCTTGGAAGTTTTGATAGGATCCAATGTTCTTGTTTATTTTGACTTTTAAATTTTTCTGAAAGGTTTTTTTTTAAAAAAATGCTTTTCAAAAGTGATTCAATATTAAAGCAAAATGTCCAGCAGGGGTGGATAGGAAGTAGTAATATAGGTGATTCAAATGCATTGTTTCAAATACAAACACATTCAAACAATTGTGTTTTTCTCGGTGGCTGTATTTTGTATGGATACATTTATTTCTATGAAGAACTGGGGAGATGGGGTGGTGTGCTTAACTTAGGATGAAAAATAACAATGAAACTTATTGTTAGACTTTTTTATGGCTACTACCTAAAATCAGACAGAAGGATTTAAAGAACCTTTGTAAAACACAAGTATGTTTTCTGTATATCTCATGTTTCTAAGTCCCTTTTCTCTCTTTTGTTTTTCTTGACAGTGGTGCATTTTCTGAAGTGGTTTTAGCAGAAGAAAAGGCAACTGGAAAACTCTTTGCAGTGAAATGTATCCCTAAGAAGGCACTAAAGGGCAAGGAAAGCAGCATAGAGAATGAGATTGCTGTTCTGAGAAAGTAAGTGCTGTAGAATTCCGTCTCTTTGATCCCTTTGGGTTGCTGGTCTCTGGGAGTGAAGATCCCTGTGTAGGGGTTAGGACAAGCTATGGCAGTCACTTAAGCCTGATAGAAGCAGGAATGGCGGCAGGGTACGTTTTACAATTGGATCATGGTCCTAGAGATGGGAAACACTGATTTTCTCTTACCTTCATGACCATCGACATCTTGGCTTGCCACCAAGCAGGACTTCTTAACAGGGAGTCCATAGACCTTGGGGTTATGTGGATAGACTTGAGAAGGTGGGTGTCCATGAAAAAAAATTAGATCTTTATTTCTACTAATTTTTGGTTTCCTTTATAATACTATGTTTTATTTTATGCATTTAAAAATATTATTCTGGGGGGCAGTTAGGTAGCTCAATGAAGAGAGCACCGGCCCTAGAGTCAGGAGGGCCTGAGTTCAAATCCTACTTCAAACACATAAAACTTACTAGCTGTATGACTGTGGGCAATTCACCTAACCCCAATTGCCTCACCAAAAAATAATAATAATAATAATTATTATTCTGGGAAGGGTTCTATAGGCTTTGGCAGATTGCCAAAGAGATCCTTGACACAAAAAAAGGTTAAGAGGCCCTGTCTCAAAGCCTCCCTATATCCAGTGAAAGTCCAATACAACATAATTAACTGAGTTCTTTGCCTGACACTATTTCACCCTTCCCACCCTCTTTCCCCACTCTCTCTCTCTCACCCCCTAGCAGCACACTTTGACTAGGTTAGAGAAACAAATCACTGTATAGTAATCATACTCTCATTTTTGGAGAAAGGTGCTATGGTAATTTATAGGTGGTTCCATTTGTGAAAGACATCAAGAATACCAATGAAAGTTACTGGGTTTTCAGGAAAATGATAAATTCAGTGACTTAGTATAAATGGAAGAAGACCCTTCCACCCTTCTCAAAACTGAATGCTATTCATTTTAATACCATTATAATGACCAAGCATGGCTCTGAAGAAGAGATGAGAAAATGTACTTCTTTTCTTCATTGAGGTGGGAGACTGTGGTGTGGAACATTATATGTGGGGTCAGACTTGGTTGATATATTGATTAGTTTTGCTGAACTCCTTTTTTCTCTTATAAGAGGTGGCTGTCTGCATAAGGGAGGCAGGAGGTACACAGTCAGAAATGAAGGTGATATAAAAACAGAAAGACTACTAAAAATTAAACAACAAATGAAGTTACTGGATTTGGAGGTCTGCTAGAGAAAATCAGTCAGCTACTAAGAGAAGCAAATTTAGAATAAATATTCTGGCTCCCCAAAACACATTGGCATGTCCCTACATTCATCATGGATGTACATGGGTTTTTTTTTCTCATTTCTTGTTTTTTTGAAGACTAACACCAGCCTTTGAATCACACTCAGCTGCCATAAGTACCAGACTGCACAGTATGCTGATCACGACAGTATAACATGTTCTGACCTTTATTGACTCAAAGAATAAACATATGGTATGTCTTTTCCACATAGAGAACAAATTGCTCATAGGGTTTTTTTGTTTATTTGTTTGGTTTCTAGGATGTCTTAGTTCTCTTCCAAAAACCCATGTAGACTAAATTAAATAACTGTTTAGAAGAGAATTTGGTCAAAACAAATCATTCTAAGTATATTATAATCAAATTGGAAGATGATATTTTAATGAAACATTTAAGGATATTAACATACATTTAAGTGACTCATTTCCCAGTGCCAGGAGCTGGAAAAGCACAATAGTGACATATTAGCATTAAGGCACATATTTGGACTTGGCTAATGCTGTAAATGATGGTGGGGAAGAGGCTGCTTCTGAGTATTTTGCAGCATCCTAGTTAGAGCGTTTAGAAGACTGATATCACCAAAAGCACCTGCGTGGATTCAGAGCCTGGTTGGCTCTCTGCTAAATCAAGCGTGTCACCTAAATCTTTGCTTGAGTCAGTAAATTGATGTGGGGACTAAATGAAGTAAATAAGTTTTCATTCTTCTTGTACTCCCATTTGTAGACATTTGGTGTCTACTCAGATGTGGACTTCAGAAGTCAGCATTGTTTTTTTTTGTCACTGAAAAGTCTGCTTTGATTAGTTTTCCCTACCTTTGGTTTCATTAATAATGAAAAAATGCCAGGGAAGAGGATGTTCAGAGATAGCAAATGACAGGACATTGACAGTCCCATGTTGTTCAGCAGTCAGAAGCCTGATCTTTTGTTAACCAATACATTTTCTTTTATCATCACAAACACAAACACACACAGAACAACCCTAAAACAAAGTAAATTTCCCCAAAAGATTTAAGCAAAACAACACAAAAGAGTTATGACTGATTCATGCCCTGTTTCCTTTTGTTTTTTGTCATATTGTTCTTTTTTGGATCTGTTTTCTTCACTATATGTCCTTTAATAACACTTACCACATGTCTTTGAGTTTTTCATTATTTATCATTACTTAAGGTGCAATAATATTCTGTAATTTACACATGCAAAAATTTATTTTTCCATTCTTGATTTTTGGTCATATAGTTTGTTTCTACCTTTTTTTCTATCACAAATAATATTGCTGTGAATATTCCTGTATAGATAACAGTGGTGCCTGTTCTCCTACAGACCTGACAGCATTGACTTTTCCCATCTTTAACCACATTTGTCAAATGAATGGATATAATAAGAGTTGTTTAATTTATATTTATCTAATTATTAGCTATTTTGAATATTTTTATAGTTGAAGATAATTAATTTCCTCTTCTAGAAACTGCCTATTCGTATCCGTTGGTCACTTGCTATTAGGGAATAGTTTTTCATTTTAGAGAGTTGTTAATTCCCTTTAGATTCCAGATATCATACTTTTATCAGAGATGTTTTAAAAAAAGATTTTTTCACAGTCCATTTTTTTTCTTCTTATCCTAGGGGCATTATTTTTATTTCTTCAAGACCTTTTTATTTTATATAATTAAGAGAATCTATTTTGTCTTTTATAATAGCCTCTGTCACAAGTAGCTAAGAATTCCTCTCCCCTTATCTACAGTTGTGAAACATATAGCTTTCTATTTGGCTTTCAATTGTTATGATGTGGTTCTTTATATTTATATTGTTCATCCCCTTGGAACTTGTTAATTGCTATGCAGTGTTCCCAGCAGATGCTGATGAATAATGAGTTCTTTCCCCAATAATTTGTATATGTGGGTTTACTGAACAATATTCTAATGTGTATTTGCCTCTAAGTCTTATTTGTATGATCTGTTCCACTTTCCACTTGTTTCATGATCTGCTTTTATTTTTAAAAAAATACAATTCAGATAATTTTAATAATTACTATTTTAGAATATAATTTTAAATTTGATAATGCCATTCTTTCTTTTCAACTCCCCCCCATTGTTTACTTTTACAATCTTGGCATTTTGTTGCTCCATAAGAATTTTATTATATTTATTTTTATTTCCTAATTCTAGAAATTCTTTCTTTAATATTTTGGCTTAGAATAAAAGTGGAAGGTTATTTTGGGAACTATTATTATCTTTACTATATTAGCACAACCCAGTCATGCACACTGAATACTGGCTCAATTATATAACTCATAGAATCATAGAATCAGAACTAGAAGGGATATCAGAAGTCATCTAGTCTAATTTTTCATTTTACAGATTAAAAAATGGAGGCACAAAGAGATTAATTGACTTGTCCTAAGGTACATAGGTAATGAATAACAGAGCTAGGATTCTCTTTCAGGTCAAGTCAACAAGCATTTAAGAGCCTACTCTTTGCCACACTAAGCAAAAAAAAAAAAAAATAATAAGTCCCAAGATCTTTCTCTTGTACCATGTTGCCTTTCTAACAAGTTAGGGCTTGAATATTTCTAAAAACTCCCTTTTTCATTCTTCTTAAACCTGCCCTTCTTCCAAATTTTCTGTCTCTGTGAAGGATACTACCATACCCCCAGTGATTGTTGACTCTTCCCTCTTCCTCAGTCCACACATTCAATCAGGAGTCAAGAGTTACCACTTCTAAGATCCTTCTTTATTTCTGTAAAAATTGTTCTGTTGTTTGATTCATGAAAGGGCTGTTTGTTTTGTCTGTATTTAATACATGGGCCTCCTACTGTTTCATAGAGTTGGGGGGAGGGATACTAGAAGAGGTAGAGGGAGATAATCATGTAATTTTTATGCCACCTATAAACAGCAGTACAAATATTGATATATCACAGGTTGAATTGAACCATATCAGTTGAAATTCTTGCTATGAATAATAATAAAGATGTTGCTATTAAGTAGAAGGATGGCTCGTTGGTTCCCCTTGGAGAAATAAATGGAATTGGTTTCATTGGTTTCCAAACCAAGAAACTTCATGCCATGGGGAACTTGGTTATTTCACCTTGCTTATTATTGAACCTAAGCAAAAAAGAAGTCATGAAAATAGTTGTTGAATGAAAGAATGAGAATATATTTGTTAATTGCTTACTACGTGTCAAGGGCTATCGTATCAAGCCCTGACATTGAAGTATAGATATAAATGTGAGACCACCCCTAACTTTAAGGGGTTTATATCTTAATAGGAGGAAACTGCAGACATAGGGCAAGGGTGGGCCCAGGAGGGTGTTTTGACCTGGGAAATCACAGGGATGATGAATGGAAAAATAGGACAGTCCATTGACACTCTATTTCCAGAAGCCCTGGTAATGTTGATTTAATTATTATATTTAGAGCAAGAGGTGGAAAGCAGGGAGAAGGGCATGGAGTACCCCAGGGAATTCACAGCCAAGTCATTTCGTTCTTCCCTATCATGGTCCTTGGAGGTCTAGTTAGATGGATTCACTGCTGGGCCGTTGCCAATCATCCTGACCCATGTTTTTCCACTGGACTCTGATGACTCTGGAGGAGAGAGTGGGGCTGATGACTTTGCACAGTCCTGCCTCATTTAAACACAATTCACTTGCAAGTCAAGACATCACCCTCCTGATGTCATCTGTCCTCTTTGAGAATGAAGGATGAACAACAA